AGAACAATATAAAAATACCTGAGTGAAACGATTCAGCACATTTTATCCCAAATTTCTTTTCCAACATTTGAAGGCCATGCTCAGGAATATCGTTGCCATGATCATTTTTGATTTCACTGATTGTTGTGCGCTTCAATTTTGAATCATCCGATAATCCCATCGCATTCATAGTTTCCATTATGTCTAAAAGTTCTTTTTTCACAAATTCATCCTGAATGTTGTTCTCGGAAATATATTCCATTGCAGACTTGGCAATTGAGTTGGTAATACCTTTGAAGAAAGATCTATTATAAGTAAAACCACGTTAGTGAGGTTACCAAGTGATTAAATGTATTTGAAAGCCGAGAGAGATTTTGTAAAAGTCCGAAGGACTATGATGGCCGAAATGTTTTAGTCAGTGCTTCATACATTGTCGATCATGGTGTAAATTAAATGTTTTTTGTGTTTTTGGGAATGCCTTGTGATAATTTTTAGTATTTCAAGCTCAAAATTGGAGATTGTTAAAATATTATTAGTAAAGACGCATGCAATGTCGGATAACTTGTAATACTTTCTTTTCATTTAAATAGGCGATTTCTAATTATGTAAATATGTTATTCATTCGACTCACAAGAACAGTAGAAATTGAGGTAAACTTTGGAACTAGTATTACTACAATAATCAATATTTGAAAAAACTATCCAAAAATATAATTTCCAATAATATACTTTTAAATATTTCTCGACTGTGATTGGATGATTGCAGTGCAGTTTATTTCCAATTGCAGTGGGAAAATATGCACAGTAGAAAAGCAGTTATTTAATGTGCATGAAAAATTTTTCAATTCTGATTGGTTTAGAGCAGTGCAAAAAGTAGGAAATACTTCCACCAATTTCTGAAAATAAATCAAAAGGGCAGAAGTTAAATTATTGTCAACAAAATCTTTAAGAATGGCTGGCGTTGGTTTTAAGAAGATTTTGTTTAATGACCCTGGCTACAGTTCTAAACTTTGCAGCTTATTTCCAAAACTCACTCGCGCAAGTTTTTCCAATTTTCACTCGAAGGTAATAGCATGGTTTCGAATGAAATTTGGAAAAAACATGCACGAGTGAGTTTTTAAAAAACTTAAAGCACTGTACTTTTTTAATGGTCACTGCCTTTGCTCTTGAAAATATAAAGCAGAAAACCAATTATTGTATTTTCTCGTGAGTCGTAAATTCATTACAAATCTTTTCGTTGGTCAAGTGCAGCTTAGCTAAAACCTTATGTCTTTGATCAGCAGAAACGTGACACACGTTCTGAATAACAAAAAAAGGTATGATTTTGGTTATGGTTATGGTTGTGGTTGTGGTTATAGTTATGGTTATGGTTGTGGTTATGGTTATGTTTATGTTATTGCACAAGGTCTGCAAAAACTTTTGGTTAAATAAGTAGTTGGATTTTTAATGGCTTATGTGCCTGTAAAATTTTTGCACATAGTAACCATTTTCAGTGCGAGAATAATGTTATTTTAGCGTAGTACTTTTGTGAAATAGTTTTCGTACGAAAATGACATAACTAAAAAGTAAATTGGAGCATGCACTTAAAGGGTTGAAGTAAGACACATATTTTTCAAAGTCTGGTAGTCATATACTTGACAGGCAATTAACCCACATCTCTTAGAATTTACAACTTTCTACTTCCGATCGATATATGCATTTATTGTATATTATTACTATTGCAAAATTGTAACCTAATTGGCTAAAAAGCAGTAGAAGGCAAACTAAAATATGGTGAGAGTTGCAGGTCAAAAAGATTTCTGCAATCGTATGAAATTTACGAATAACAAAAGAATGCAAAAAAAAAACACAACAGTGAGTACTGTTTTGCGGTAAATGTTTATAAAATGCGCGCAACGAAGTTTTACGTAAGTGATAAAGAGTTACAAAGAAGACAGTTATGGACTTTGAGGAATTTTGCAAAACGTTGTTCATCTCTAACAAAAAAAGAATAAAGTCCTTAATAAACGAGCTCGAGGTCTTTACGGAGAAATAAGGACCGAGGTCTTTTTGTACACGTCGTATATGCTCTGTTGAACGTTTGAAGCAGGCTTTGAAATAATCTGTAGAAATTCACAATAAATATTTTATGTTTTACCTTTTTCGGGTGTGAGACCAAGGAGAGGTTTTGCTTCAAAGCGGCTCACGGCCAATACCAGCATTAAAACCAATACAGTCTTCATATCGAGATGTGAATTGAACTTCTGAATGTCTTCCAAAACAAAATTATGTCAGATCTTAACGTTGTGGTAAGAACTATGTATAGAGAGAGTTTATGAAAGGATTGACTTGCTAATAAAACAGAAATTTATATGCGCATAGCTAAAGCCTTCCCACACTCATCAATTTGCATTTATCGGATACGTGTACATATTTTCAAATAATATCGACGCGAAAAACTTCCTTCTTCAATTGAAAATTCTCATATCAAATCACAGCGAAGAGATTAGGTTCATGTATTCACTTCAATGATGGAATTAAACAAAAATGAAACTTGATAAAAATTATTTATTCAGAAGTAAGTTAAAAAAAACGCAAAATCGTTCACATATAACGAGGCTCTTTGCGATTGGTCAACTCTACTTGAAGTAGAGTTGACCAATCGCAAAGAGCCTCGTTTCATTTTAACACGAAACTAGTTCCGTCTTATATAAAATATTGCAAGCATCATTTTTTATAGTCAATCATGAGTAAATAAGTGTACTTTTTCTTCCCCAAGACTTGAAAATAATTCTTATCTTGCCTTATATATGTTTTCTTTGCTTAGCTTCTCACAAATTTAATTTAGCTTCTGCTGGCTGTTTTCATGTGCAACATTTTGTTCGATGTAAAAAAGCTTTTAATGTATCATGAACACAGTTGAACACAGAGCTTAATATCAAAGCTCTTTTAAATTGTCACTTTATAATAAAATGACTTGGGGTGCTTTTTTCCTATATTATATTAGTATGAAAAAATAAATTTGAGGGTTTTATATTACTATTTAATACATATTAAATAATTGTTTTATCTTTAGTGTTGTTTGATGAGTAGATGAAAGCCTGCACTCCAAATATGAAATAGACGTAGTTGTTGTATTTTTGTCTTCTTCATAGTTTCATTTAAAGCTTAGGTATGATACATTGATTCGTATATTACGATATAAATATAGTTAGTGTGACTCTATCACAGAACTATAGTGTCTGTCAATGCTGTCTCAAATTGAACACATAGCCATGGCTCGTTAACACAAAAAATTCGTAAAAATGTTGACATTACGTGTCAAAAAAACTATTTTCTCTACCCCTTCCCAAAGAGAGTCCCGGTCGTCTAAATCCACTGCCCAGCTCTCTCGACAGTTCAGTCGTGATTAGAACAGAATCATATAATATTTATTTAGAAAAGATCATGACTGAAGAGTCACGAGCATTGGTCACAAGTTAAAGTTAATTGATTTTAATGTGAAAGAAGAATTTGAAGAAGAATGCGGTGCAGTCCTCCCTCAATAAGTGTACGTTTTATTAAATGCAATTTTCTATCATAATAGAATTTTCTATCATTAAAATTTTCATTTCAAATTCTAATTGTTCTTTCAGAAGAAGTTAATTTATAGAGATCGTGCAAATGGTTAGGCTAATTTATACGTTCCTTTGTCATGATCGATTTTTTTAAGGTTGATTTTACCAGATATTAACATGTTATACCTGTAATCAAAAAACTCACTCATACTCACACTCTCACTGAGTGCGACATAAAAATCTCACTCTAAGTAATCATTGGCAAAGTTATTTTTCCTTCTATAGCAAATTTTTCTCCTTGATATTTCAAATCAAACAATCAGTTGAGTGAAATTATGGTCTTTGAGTAGTTGTGAAGTGATTTTGAAGCCCCACTCAGACCATCATAGTTATTTATTTCTTTAGTTTTTTTAGTTTTTCACGTCATTGTTTGCGTTATTCTTTGGCCTTGTATTATTACGGTTTTTGGATAATGATGATTGTGTTATACAGTGCAGTACTTTGGAATTAGTTTATACTTTTGTAGCAGGAAATACAATTAAATATTTTGTGATCAGTTGTCAAGCGTTCGATTAATCATTGTCTAAACAATCAACACATGTAGAATCATTGGAAAAATAATCTTTTGCAAATATTTCAAGAAAAAAGTAACAACAATCAACACAAACTGTCCGCCCAAAAATAGCAATACAATTGTAATCGCTAAAATTGTTGCCAATTTTGTCAGAGAGCTGTCTTGGACAGTTGGACGTGATTATTTGTCATCATGAGATGTGTCACAAAAAAGCAAATGATGATATTTTTAGTCAAACCAGTAGTAGCAAAATGTAATCCAGGTAAAATGACAAAAAATCTAGTAATGGTATCTACTTCTACCCCTTTACTTCACATATTTTTTTGTCCCTTGACCTTGAGTTTTGGATGGTTTCTTATAAGCAAACACATGGTTTAATTAAGGGATATTAGTAATTACGAAGCCATCATCAGAGTATATACATAATATAATAATCCTAACACGGTTTTTAATATGCACATGAAAAACATGTGACTTGGACGAGATTTGAACTCGCACTTTCGGGATACTAGTCCGCCGCTCTACCTGTTGAGCTACCAAGCCCACAGGGATTGGAGACGAGACAGGTAGAGCGGCGGAGTAGTATCCCGAAGGTGCGAGTTCAAATCTCGTCCAAGTCACATGTTCTTCATGTGCATATTAAAAACCGTGTTAGGATTAATATATTAGTAATTACGCGTCCCGCAAAAGGAGGAAAGCTTATTAAATGTCCTCGGTATGTGGGACATTTAACCACTGATATCCCTGAAAGCATGCGTTTACTTATTATAAAGTTTCGAAAATTATGTTGATGTGTAAAATTATATTAGACATCAACGAAAATTTTTCAAAATTAAAATCAACGAAAATTTTTCTAAATTGACTTATTACATACATGTTTTGGCATACTTAGACATTTAAAATCAACGAAAATTTTTCTAAACTGTTTTATTGCATACATGTTTTGGCATGCTTGTACTATCTTCATTGCCTTTTTTTTTTCAGATTGAATTAAATATTTAAATACAGGTAGTTTATAATAAATGTGTACTATACGTGAATAGACAAATTAGATTAAACGGTGAAAGGGCAATAGTGATGCTTCAAATTTTTTGTTTGAAGGTTGACTTATTTCTTCAATAAATACAACAAATTTTGAACTAAATCACTGATAAAATGTATTTGATGTAGTCTAGCATTTTCCTCAATCCTCTAGAACTCTGTTCTTCAACTTCACCTAGTCTTGTATTAGAAGAACATACTTTTTCTTGCTCCAGTTTCTTTCTCACCGCTCGCGAATTTGCTTTTGAAGAATCATTACTGTAAAGACTTGAAGTACTAATCTGAAACATTTGTCGAAAGCTTGTTTGGTAAGATTTCCTTTCTTTTATCAATTATTCCAACTAACGTATAAATTTGCTGCAATGTTAATTCATGTTTTAAAAGCACTGGATCTTTGGCAACAGATCTTTTCCATTCATGGAATTTTTCTTTAACTTGCAAGTCTACACGCCCACCTCTCCATTGAGAGGATGGAATTTTTAAGACTTTGTTGCTTTCTGTATTCAATGATGTTTGTCTCATAATGTATGCACCGATACCACCGCCAGTATTATTTTCATCTTGGTTTGACAATTCTATGATGTCATTATTATTATCACAAACAAATGATCCCCCAACATATGCAGACATGACAAACAACTGACTAAATTTATTGAAAAAATTTATGAACTCCTTCATCACAATCTCGTCCTCGATATTTTCAGTTGGTAGATTTTCCACAACAGACAGAAACTCATTAGTAAAAGCAATTTTCTTCGAATCGAATTCATCTACACTTATCATTGCTATTCTCTCTTCTTTCAATTGCCTTTTTTTGCTGTAATTTACATCAAAATCTAGAGCCATCATTAATATACTTGGTGCCATGTTCACATTTAGCCCCAAGGCAACAACTTTCATTCCGTTGTAAATACAATTCGTTGTCTACAGTTTCAATTATCTACAGATAAATTGTTTATTATAAACGAGAGATAATTTTAAAACCTGAGCTGAAACAAAGTCGTCCGTGACAAGTAAGTAAGTATTCTACAGAAAAATCTTGCTTCCGAAACATATTTGCAAATGTGGGAAATAACTTTTATAGAAAAAATGCGTGATCTGATATCAGGATTCTATAAAATAAAGTCAAACGTTCACTGATATAATAACTTTTTACTAAAAAAGATTAATAGCTAAAAATAAAAATGAAAAAAAAAGCTACAAAACCTACCTTCTTCAGCAGCCTTAGTAAAACGTTCTACGAGTTTCAATTCCTCATCTGATAACTCCTCTTCATCTGCAATTTTGGCTTTAACTTCATGACCTTTTGTTGGCTTTTCCTTTTTCTTTTGTGTAAATGCAGCATTCAACACCATGTGTCCAAATTTATCTGTGATATCGTTTCCATCTTTGCTTTTTTTGAGTAAGCTAAGGCAAGCATTGTATAAATTCAGAGGTTGTCTTTCACCATTGGGAAGAATTGTGAAATCTCCATCCTTTTTAAGTCCATAATCATAAGGATTATTTTCTATCAATACAACTGGTGCCCTCACTCCCAAAATTTGAAAAACAAGATCTGACACCAAAATTTTCTTTTCTTGCATGGTCTCGTGCCATTTTCTCACGTCCTTACAACCAACAGAACAAGCATGTGTTAAAATAACGACGAGATTTGGATGACTGATGTCAACAACATCCAACATCTTGACACCTCTCAAGGATTTTGAAAGATGGGTATAGACTCCTTTCATTCTGTTATTATTGGCTTTGTCAACTATGAACACAAGATTTGGATAAAACTTTGTTTTCGAAAGAAATTTGGGATGTGTTTCAAAGTATTTTTTCACAGATACAAAATTGCACGCGTCTTGTTGGACACCATCATCATCATTGAAGCCAGGTGTGTCAATAATTCTCATGGTTAAATCACTCACTTCATACTTTGGTTCGTCAAAAGTAATGATATACTCAGATGTTTTTCTCTTACGTGATCCATAATAACTTGTCTCAGCAACTGGGAATCCATCTCCGGTGTCCATTAAATGATTTATTGTTGATGATTTACCACATCCAGTACTTCCAACAAGCAATATCATAGCAAATTGAAAATGGCGTTGGATTTTTGCACTTGACAATGAAAAATAATGTAGTATCGCCTGTGGCAATCGTTCTGAAGTTTCATCAAAATTCTTGAAAGTGTCATATTCCGCTTTAAATTTATCATCAGATGATGGTAAGGGCTTTAACTTGGAAACTAGAGCATTGCTCATTTCTTTGTCAAAACCTAACAAAATTGAGACCATTCGTATGTATTAAAAAAGTAGCTATGGCAATTACAGAAAATTTGATGAAAAATAAGTCAACAGAGCAGATGCATAAGTAAAGGTGTTTTCTGTTTTAATTCACAGCTAATGCGATATTTTTTCGTGCACGAATATATCCTGCATGTTATATTTTTGTTGACCGTATTGTAAAGATTCCTCAAAAATGTATGTTTCTATTTCATTGACAATATATTAAAATTGCAAGTTGTAGTTGTTAATGTCCTATAAATATTCTTTGTTTATCTGTAATTGCACTGTGAAAATGTGTAATTGCAGTGTGGCAATACTCGTAAAAAAACAGTACCTACTTGCTGTTTTATATTCTTTTGTAATTGTTGAATTTAAAACTATTGCAATTGTGAAAATCTTGTTAACTTCGTTTATTTACAACTGCTGCCATGTTTTTTTAATTGAAATAAGTTTGTTTGGCTTTTACTGTTCTTCAGCCAAGCACTAAAATTACACATTTTCACAGTTAGCTGCACTTCAGTCAACAAATCACAGTCGAAGAACATCTCAAGGTATTTTATTACCTATACTAGTTTCTAACGTTAATGTAACAAGTTAAAAGTTATTTGCTCCTGTTAAAAAGTTCTTTCTTATTTCAAGAGTAAATTTCTGGCAAACAAGAGTCCTAAAGACATAAATGTGTTAAAAATAAGATGCATATTTTAATGAAACGTATTCTTAATAAGAAATTTTCAAGTTTAAAGTATTTTTTTAATTTAGTACTCTACAGAAAAATCTTGCTTCCCAAACATATTTGCAAATGTGAGAAACAACTTTTATAGAAAAAATGCGTGATCCGATATCAGGATTCTATATAATGCAGTCAAACGTTCACTAATATAATAATTTTTTATTAAAAAAACAATAGCTACAAATAAAAATGAAAAAAAAAATTCAAATCCTACCTCTTTTAGAAGCTTCATAAAAATCATTTGCGAGTTTCAATTCCTCAACTGATAATGACTCTTTTTTTGCAATTTTGGCTTTAACTTCATGACCATTCGTCGGTCGATTCTTTCTCTTTCGTGTAAATGCAGCATTCAACAACATTTGGCCAAATTTATCTGCTTTATCTCTGCTTTCTCTTAGTAGGCTAAGGCAAGCATTGTATAAATTCAGAGGTTGTCTTTCACCATTGGGAAGAATTGAGAAATCTCCATTCTTTTCAAGTCCATAATTGTCAGGATTATTTTCTATCAATACGACTGGCGCCCTCACTCCCAAAGTTTGAAAAACAAGATCTGACACAAAATTTTTCTTTTCTTGCATCGTCTCGTGCCATTTTTCCATTTTCTGGTAACCAACAGAACAAGCATGTGTTAAGATCACGACGAGATTTGGATGACTGATGTCAACAACATCCAACAACTTAATGAATCTTAAGGATTTTGAAAGTTGCGTATTAGGTCCCTCAATTCTGTTATCATCGGCTTTTGTGACTAAGAACACAATATTTGAATAAATCTTAGTTTCCTCTTTTAATTCGGGATGCGTTTCAAAATACTTTTTAATACATAGAAAATTGCATGCATCTTGTTTATCACCATCACCATCATTGAAGCCAGGAGTATCAATAATTCTCATGGTTAAGTCACTCACTTCATACTTTGGTTCGTCAAAAGTAATAATATACTCAGATGTTTTTTGTGTAGATGATTGATTATTACTTGTCTTAGCAACTCCAGTACCCAGTAAATGATTTATTGTTGATGATTTACCAGATCCACTACTTCCAACAAGCAATATCATAGCAAATTTAGAATGGCGTTGAATTTTCCGGCTTGAAAGTATCAATTTATAAAGTTTAGCTCTGGGATTTTGTTCTACATTTTCATCACCCATTTCGATAATCTCATTTAATTCTGCCCTTATTTTATCATCAGATGATGGTAAAGGCTTTTAATTGGAAGAGTTGGTAGTGCCCATTTCTTTATCAAAACTTAATCCAATACAACTCGTTTAAATATCTGTGTTGAACGTTGTTGTTCTGCACCGCGGATCTAATATATTTACAAAATAGACATTCCAAGCATACAAATAAGTTACGTTGAACATTAAAATACTATGTATACATACACCAAAAACGCTGTCTTTCACAAGAAAAATGTTCTACTCATATTTTGATATTGTGTGTGTGTAAGTGTATACCTTTACAGCGGCGTACCTTCCTGTGGACGTCGTGGCTAAAGTTCAAATTATTCAGAATAGCTAAAATATAATTAAAGAATGAAGCTCATTTTAAGAATGTTTTCACAAAATGTTTATCTAGTTTACTCAAATAAGAAAATGTCAATTACCTAACCTAAAATTCTTCGTGAACTCAGACTCGATTAAGTGGCAAAAATTACAAAGTATCTACTATCCAGCAACGATATTCTAAAGATATTTAAATTATAATAGACTAAAGCACTTATTTTTCGGCAAAGGCTTTGAGTTATGCGCTTACGCTAAGGCAAAATGAAAATTTGGCCTTCTAAAGCCTTCTATACTCTAAAGCAACTCAATATTTCATGTATTTATTATATAAAATTTGATATTAGGAAATAGTCTTATGAAAACACGGACGCTGATTGTTTGAATGCTCGAAAAACTCGTGTTGTAGGAATACGGGAATTTCAGTGTCACAGGTCTGAGGGACGTTATACGACAAATTTTGCACAATTATTTAATGAGTGCAGTAGCGTGAAGCGTCCGTCTACGTTGAAAAATAAAACAATGTTTTATCTTTCACAATTTTTTAAAAACATAAATTATTTGCAACCAGCGAAGGTTGGTCGGGAGATAAAGTCTTATTAAGATGTTGTTTAACAATATTAACAATACATAACAACACGTTTCACACCCAAAATTGTAAGATATTGCATATTGCAATCTATTGAAGTGGAACTTAACATACGAATAATCTTACTCTTCACAACATTTCACGAAGTTCTTCAAAAAGCGTCATAACAAAAGTCAGTCAAGATTTTGTTAGTAAAATGTCAAGAAATGGCAGTTGATCCTGTTCTTCAGTTTCAAATGAAAATCTAATGTTTTCGTGCTGTGTGTTAATGTAATTATAAAACTTCATGGCCTCAGTTTCATTAGTAAAAACACAAAAAATATTGTCGACGTATCTGCGGTAAAATAGTTGTTTAGTGTCATTGTAATTGTTTAGCCAGTTTCAAAAGAATCTATCGTTCGACGATTTAGGTGACCAAGGTGACCATTTAGGCCTTAAAGTCCAAATATTATGAAACGCTTCTGTACAGATATTGACATTCGACTAATTTTTACATCATTCAAAATCAAAAACCATTTCTCATTCAAAGACCCAACCCCTGATTCAATTAAATGTATGGTGGTGTATGAATTCAATTGCGCGGAATGTAATTCCCGATACATTGGCGAAACTTCGCGCCATTTATCCACCAGAATCAGGGAACATACACAACAGACAAAAACTCTCATATCTACCGACACCTTCTTAAATCTCACTGATGTAAAACCACTATTCACCCTCTCTTGCTTCAAAATCATCGACACTGCCGACACTTCATTCTCCTATAAAACCAAAGAAGCACTCCACATTAACAAAACTAACCCTGACCTCAATGTTCAAGTTTTTAAATTCAATACAATATTTAGTTTATAATACGCTCGACGCTCCCCATTAATTTATCTTATTTCCTTATTAATATTGTTGTAATTTATGTATCATATTACTTTTATATAAACCTTGTATTATTTATTATTTCACTTATACCGAAGATGGTATCATGAGATGTCGAAACATGTCTATTTTAAAAAAACTCGTCGTGTATATTAAATACGCATTAGCAATAGTGCTTCTACGACATTATGTTAAGAAATGTTACCTGAATTTTATGGCAAACTTTGACTTGAAAAGCAATAAGATCTGAAATCTGAAAATGTACATATATACGTGTCAAAATTGTTTGCATGTCATTAATACAATCACTCATTAAATATTCCACATTGTTTAATAAAATTTGAAATCACAAGGTTAAATAGTTGGAATGTTTGTACATTATTCATCTAGATTTATGTATAGATTTATTTATCTAGATTTATTTATGCAATAGAGGAAATAGCCAATCCTACACTTACTCAAACGCGCTACTTAACCTTACGCATTTAACTTTACAATTACGTAAAACTACTCAAATTTCAAGTACATTATCCGCCTTGTAATAACTACACCTTGTTTAGCTAAAGATATAAAAAGCCTGTAAATAAATTGTAAAAGATAGAATATTCACGACTGTTGTAAATAACTTTTTCGCTAGTGATTAAAATAATCACAAAAATTTATTAGCGTTTTAGTACTTAAATGAAGATATGATCTTCGCACTTGGCTGGACAATTTAACCTGAAAAATTTCAGGACCCTGAAAAATTCAGGTGACTCAACGGGATTCGAACCCATGACCTCTGCGGTGCCGGTGCAGTGCTCTGACCAACTGAGCTATGAAGTCACACAGTGGTGAGCAGGTCAATTATGTTGGGCTCATGTTTTCTCGTGAAAGGAATGTCATATGAAAGAATGTTTTATGCTGTGCGGTGTTTTGAAATTAAATGAAGATATGATCTTCGCACTTTGCTGGACAATTTAAGCAATCGTCTCATGAACCTGAAAAATTCAGGTGACTCAACGGGATTCAAACCCATGACCTCTGCGGTGCCGGTGCAGTGCTCTGACCAACTGAGCTATGAAGTCACACAGTGGTGAGCAGGTCAATTCTGTTGGGCTGATGTTTTCTCGTGAAAGGAATGTCATATGAAAGAATGTTTTATGCAGTGCGATGTTTTGAAATTAAATGAAGACATGATCTTCGCACTTTGCTGGACAATTTAAGCAATTGTCTCATGAACCTGAAAAATTCAGGTGACTCAACGAGAAAACATGACTTTCACGAGAAAACATCAGCCCAACAAAATTGACCTGCCACTACTGTGTGACTTCATAGCTTAGTTGGTCGGAGCACTGCACCGGCACCGCAGAGGTCATGGGTTCGAATCCCGTTGAGTCACCTGAATTTTTCAGGTTCATGAGACAATTGCTTAAATTGTCCGGCAAAGTGCGAAGATCATATCAAGTGTAACTCATTTCAAAAATAGCAATACAATTGTAATCGCTAAAATTGTTGCCAATTTTGTCAGAGAGCTGTCTTGGACAGTTTGACGTGATTATTTGTCATCATGAGATGTGTCACAAAAAAGCAAATGATAATATTTTTAGTCGAACCAGTAGTAGCATAATGTAATCTGGGTAAAATAACAAAAAATCTAGTAAAGATATCTACCTCTAACCCTTTACTTCACAAGTTTTTTGGTCCCTTTACCTTGAGTTTTGGATGGTTTCTTATAAGTAAACGCATGCTTTTGTTAAGGGATATTAGTAATTAAACGTCCCTTAAAGGGAGGAAGGCTTATTAAATGTCCTCGGTTTGTGGGTCATTTGAACACTGATATCCCTGAAAGCATGCATTTACTTAAAATAAGGTTTCGAATATTATGTTAATGTGTAAAGTTATGTTAGACATTTAAAATCAACGAAAATTTTTCTAAATCGTTTTATTGCATACATGTTTCGGCATACTTATGCTATCTTCATTGCCTTTTTTTTGCAGAATGAATTAAATATTTAAATACAGGTATTTTTTAATGATATATACTGAACGCGAATAGACAAAATAGATATAAACGGTGAAAGTGCAATAGTGATGCTTCAAATTTTTTATTTAAAGGTTGACTTATTTCTTCAATCAAGGCAATGCATTTTGAACGGTATCATCAATTATTGATAAAATGTATTTGATGTAGTCGAGCATTTTCCTCAAACCTCTAGAACTCTGTTCTTCAACTTCACCTAGCCTTGTGTTAGAAGAACATACTTTTTCTTGCTCCAGTTTCTTTCTCTCCGCTCGCGAATTTGCTTTTGAAGAATCATTACTGTAAAGACTTGAAGTATTAATCTGAAACATTTTTTCGAAAGCTTGTTTGGTAAGATTTCCTTTCTTTTTATCAATTAGTCCAACTAACGTATGAATTTGCTGCAATGTTAATTCATGTTTTAAAAGCACTGGATCTTTGGCAACAGATCTTTTCCATTCATGGAATTTTTCTTTGACTTGCAAGTCTACACGCCCTCCTCTCCATTGAGAAGATGGGATTTTTAAGACTTCGTTGCTTTCTGTATTCATTGATAATTTTACCACAATGTGTGCACCAATACAGCCGCCAACATTATTTTCATCTTGGTTTGTCAATTCTATGATGTCATTATTATTATCACATACAACTGATCCCCCAACATATGCAGACGTGACCACAAAGTGACCAAATCTACTGAAAAAATTTATGAACTCCTCCATCACTTTCTCGTTTTCGATATTTCCACTTGGAAGTTTTTCCACAGCAGACCGAAAGTCATCAAAAAAAGCAATTTTTTTCGAATCAAATTCATAAACATTTATCTTTGCGATTCTTACTTTTAATATCTTTGTATTGGATGAAGATCTTGAGTCATTTTCCTGACGCTTCATGCTGTAGTTTACATGAAATTCTGGAGCCATCGTTAATATACTTGGTGCCATGTTCACATTTAGCCCCAAGGCTGAAAGGCGCGATTTAATGTAACATTCATTCCCTTGTAAATGCATTTCGCTATCTACAGTTTCATTTATTTTCAATATTTGTGCAAATTTAGGAATTCTCATGTCAAATTGTTTATTATCAACGAGAGATAATTTTAAATTCTGAGGTGAAACAAAGTCGTCTGTGACAAGATTGTATCCCTGACCAACAAACTCAGCTACAACAAAGAAACATCAAGTTTTTAGAAATTACGCTTATTCATCATATACGATGAAGTAAGTATCACAGCTAATGCGATATTTTTTCGTGCACAAATATACCCTGCATTTTATTTTGTTGAGAGTATTGGTTCTGAAGTTTCATCAAATCTCTTGAAAGTGTCATATTCTGCTTTAAATTCATCGTCAGATGATGGTAAGAGCTTTAACTTGGAAAACACAGCAATGCCCATTTCTTTGTCAAAACCTAACAAAATTGAGACCATTCGTATGTATTAAAAAAGTAGCTGTGGCAATTACAGAAAATTTGATGAAAAATAAGTCAACAGAGCAGATGCATAAGTTAAGGTGTTTTCTGTTTTAATTCATATCTAACGCGATATTTTTTCGTTGACGAATATACCCTGCCTGTTATATTGTTGAGAGTATTGTAAATATTCCTAAACAAATTTATGTTTCTATTTCATTGAGAAAATATTAAAATTGCAAAGTTGTAGTTATTGATGTCCTATAAATGTGCTTTATTTATTTAATAAATTTATATGGTATTTCTTGTTTGGGGTCCTTAATACTCGGCGGCCCCCGTCACTTGACACCTGGACACCCAATTACGCCACTGTAGATTAGCAACAGTTATTTATTAATTGCATATTATTATGCTTATGATGCTCGCCATAAGATAAAAAAATTTCAAAATACCCGAATAAAACGACTCAGCACATTTTATGTCAAATTTCTTCTCCAACATTTGAAGGCCATGTTCTGTGATATTGTCGTCATGACGACAGTTGATTTCAAAGACTGTTGTGCGCTTCAATCTTGAATCATTCGACAATCCCATCGCATTCATAGTTTCCTCTAGCCCAAAAAGTTCTATTTTTACAGATTTGTCCTGGATGTTGTTTTTGGAAATATACTGCTTTGCACGCTTAGCAAGTGAGTTGGTTAAAACTTTGAAGAAAAAATGGCAATTATAACAATGTGCTTGTCAGTAGTGATTAGTTGAATACAGTGCAGTTTATCTGTAATTGCACAGTGAAAATGTGTAATTGCAGTGTGGCAATACTTGTAAAAAAACAGTAGTTACTTGCTGTTTTGTATTCTTTTGTAATTCTTGAATTTAAAACGATTGCAATTGTGAAAATCTTCTTAACTTCGTTTATTTACAACTACTGCCACGTTTTTTTTTAACTAAAATAAGTTTCTTTGGCTTTTACTGCTCTTCAGCCAAGCAGGTTATAGTATTTACATTGAAATTACAGCTCTTCTGCAGTGCAATTATTTCCTGTAAAACGTGTTAGACGTATCCAACATTTCCTGTAAAACGTGTTGGACGCATCCAACATTTCTTGTAAAACGTGTTGGACATATCCAACATTTCCTGTAAAACGTGTTGGACGCATACAACATTTCCTGTAAAACGTGTTTGACGCATTCAACATTTCGTGTAAAACGTGTTGAACGCAATCAACATTTCTTGTTAAATGTGTTGGACGTTTACAACATTTCCTGTAAAACGTGTTGGACGCATTCAACATTTCTTGTTAAACGTGTTGGACGTTTACAACATTTTCTGTAAAACGTGTTTGATCGCATTCAACATTTCCTGTAAAACGTGTTGAACGCATTCAACATTTCTTGTTGAATGTGTTGGACGTTTACAACATTTCCTGTAAAACGTGTTGAACGTATTCAACATTTTTTTGTTGAATGTGTTGGACGTTTACAACATTTCCTGTAAAACGTATTGGACGCATTCAACATTTCTTGTTAAACGTGTTGAACGCATCCAACATTTCTTGTTAAAGGTGTTTGACGCATTCAAAATTTCCTGTAAAACGTGTTGGAATTCAGAATCCAGTTTGTGGTTTAAGGAAATAAGCAGCTCAGACATGAACTGTAAACTACATTTACTATGTATGTTGCTCTGTTGATAGCGTTGGAAACAAACGTTTATGTATTATCTGCTATCCAAGCTGCATCCAATGTGCAATCTTTATTCTGTGGTATAGAGTATAGAATATTATAATTTACTTTTTAGTGTTCCAAACGCAAAACGTCTTTATTATTTTATTACGTGAATGATTTGATGGATTTGCATCTTTTGCATGTAATTTAAG